ATTAATTTCTTTAAATATTATACAAATTTCTTTTAAAGTTAAGGGAGGACTAGGACATTAAGGGAATGATATCCTTTTCTGTTAAAATATGCCTCTTCATATTCTATGGGCCGTATAATTGCAACATGAGTTCCATCAATGCATCCAATCACTCCTGGCATATTGATATTCTCCATTGATATTCTATAAAAGTGTAATAGATTAAAATTATTATATATATATAGGTACTTTAGTCATACAAAATATAGTAACAACTTGTATATATCATTTTGTATATATTAATAATCAGAAAAAGAAGTGGGAGGATGACATAAGGGCAGTGGCTGGACCCACATGGAGAAAGAAAATATTTTGGAGGAGTCCTTATATTCCATGCCGTTGTGAGAAATAGAGAATGAGATATGGAGGTACTTACTTTAAGTTCGTCGCGTATCATTGTGCTTATTTTGCGGATTCGTAAACACAGCATCAGTTCCTGGCACAATTCGCAAAACGCATCTTTAGTAAGGCTAAATTGCGCCACAAACTCGCTCGACGGCAGTGCCGAGGGGTCACTAAGATCTCGCATGAGACGGCGATCCTTTTTAATAATTTTTTTTGACGTTCCTCCTTAGCCCAAGCTAAATGGCATGTGCCATTGTGTGCTAGAAATCAAATGATAAACTACACCAAAAATTCAAAACGAATACAATTTCACTTTTAGAAACGATTTTACGAGCTAAGAAACACCTTATGAATTGTTACTCTTATTGTCAAAACCAAGTTTCGTTTCAATGCTAAGCTGACATATCGGCAAAATAGCGATTCCATAACATTGCAACGAGGTTACCTAATCGACATTCGATACAAATATTTTTTATCGATATGTAAAGATGCGTTTACGTTGCAATGCTAGTTGACAGCGTCAAATGGCGTCAATATAATCGCATTATTGACAGATGACATCATTTTTCAGTTATATACGAAAGTCGTTGCGATCGAAGTTACATAATTAGCCCACTATGCAAACGGCGACACAGTGGGCCCAAGCAAGGTCATTTTCCTCAAAATAATAATAATTTCTCTCCAGTTGTTCTTCCTTTTAACCTTTTCCAACAGTCGCGCTCGCTTACTATAATGTAGTAGGCGTGCGCGACCTTCTTCTGTCTTTTTCATTTTATTATCGTAACTGACTGCAGTAAAAAGTCACAATTGTTGAGAGCGTGGACTGTAGGTTGCTGATGTTAACCCTTAAATGCATAAAGTAGTAAAACTGCAACATACCATTCAAACGACCATAACATTATTAGTATGAGTTCAATGCATGCTGTTGCAGGATTATTACTATCATGGTGATATATTTAATCGAGTGGTAACACACTTTTTTTCTTCACGACTGTCAAATTTAACCCTTAAATGCATGATTTTATTTTTAGACCGACAAAAAATATATTTTGGAGCCATGAATATGCTGATTTAGGGAAAAATAATAAAAAAAATAGTTTTTTTTATTTTCATAGCTATTTTTATTAAAAACCATTTGTTGCAGAACTACAACACTATGCACTCACTAGACAATAACTACATATGAAAATTTTTAAAACAATTTTTGGTTGTGGTAAGACAAAGAGCTACTCCACACTTCTCACACCTGTTTTGCGTGTATCCCTTGCATCCAGGCATTTTGCATCTGCTGCGAACACAATTACCAGGCCAGTGACCAACATTATCAGTCCTTATGTCCTTAGGAGGAATATGTTGAGCTGGTCCTCTCCTTTTCTTTGCTTGTATTTCCATTTCAACACTGTTGCTGGTACTTGGCCTTCCTCTTTTGTTGCAGAGTTCAAATGAGTTATTTACTTTGGCTAATACCTCAGCTAGTTCCAGTCTATAGTTACATAGGTTTAGAACTGATGAATTGGCTTCAGTTGTTTTTAAATTTTTATACACAAGCCAAGAATTTATTACCGTCATGTCCAACAAGTGGTAAAAGATACGAAGGTACCACTTTCGGCTTCTCATTGCAATTCGGTACCTCCCAATAAAGCTATCCATTAGGTACACTCCGCCCATATGGGCATTATATTCCTTTATTATATGTGGGCATGAAATTTTAATTCTAGTCTTATTTGCCTTGTCAAATCTTTCTACTTGGCCCACAGGTTCAGCTCCAACATATGAAGATAGAAAAGTTACAACTTTATTGTCCTTCCAAGTAACTGCTGTCAAATCAATACCGTCAAATTCAGTCATCTGCTCTTCATAAGTTCCACGAGGAACAGATTTCTTCATCATTGTTTTTTTGTCCGGCAGTTTGCAGTTCACTAGCCTGTTAGATTGCACAGTACCTAGGCTATAGATTCCTTGTTTGGCAAGATAGGTAACTAAAGGTACAGAGGTGTAAAAATTATCAAAATAAATGATATGATTTATATGCCTTGGGACACCTCTAGCAAGCCGGACTACAACATTTCCCACTGGCCCAAAATCTGGTTCATCTGGAAGCCGTTCATTCTCTTGGCCAGTATATATTTCAAATTTATGAGCATAACCTTTCACGCTGCACATCACATATAATTTAAACCCCCACTTATGGGGCTTATTAGGTAAATACTGCTTCATGAAGTGTGCCACTTTTGTGGCACACTTCATCATTTGAGAGTTCATCAATTGAGAGTTTTTGTTCCATAGGAACTAAAGCAAATTTCTCATTTAGATGGCTAATTATAGGCCTTATCTTATGGAGCCTATCATGTTGTGGGTGTTCCTTGGGTAAATGTTTCTCGTTATTGTTGAAATGTAGAAATCTACGAATAGTCTCAAATCGGTTGACAGTCATTATGTCTTTGATTGGTTGAAAACCTACAGTATTTGACCAGTATAGCCGTACATTGGGATATTTTATAACAGACATGTATATCAGTATCGCCATAAACTTTCTTAGCTCAGTTTCAGATAAATTTAATGGTTTAGTCACATTTTTTTGAACGGAATACAAATTAGACTCTTCCACAATCCTTTGAACTATTTCTGATGTAATAAAATGTGAAAAAATACTATAGGGAGTACCAGTAGTAGCCTCATCCTTCAGTTCAGGTGGGTATGTAGTGTCTCCATGAAAAGCTGTCTGGTCAGAATTCAAAACAATTTTTTTTACCTTCCATACGAGTCCTCTCATAGTTGCTCGGCGACTAGCTTGACTTGTTGAGGGGAATGGAACCTGTGGCACTTGATCATTTGCTGTAGCTTCATTTATCAATGGCGGGTCTCCTGCCATGAATGGATCATTATCGGGGTCATCATTTTCCTCTTCTAATGGACTCTCAAGATCGTGAAGCAAATCGTCTCCATTTTCATAAAAATTCTCATTACCTTCTGTATCCGAGTCCTCAAGATCATCTTCCGAAATCTCTCCATCATTTATTAGAGCTAAATACTCTTCTATTTGCTTTTGATTCAAGTATGGCATCTGAAAACCAATAAAAGTGATAGTTAGTAACTAAACAGGGACATTTTCTAGTAAATGCATATTGTTGCAGATTTACAACAACAAAATAAACAAAATTTCCGAACACACCAAAAGTTTTTTTTATAACTTATAAATTGTACTGAAAAGAAGATGAATTATTACGTAAAATAACTAATTTTGTTTGAACGTACCTTCGAAAACCAAATAATTACACTGCAAAGCAAATACACAATTTTCATCCGCTCCAAAATTACGATCGGCTTTAATTTGTCAATGTCAATTTAACACCTTTCCTGGTCCAAACTAATTATATTTAAATTATACAACAACATATAGCGTCTATTAGACAATATCGTGGGAACAATAATATATTAATTTTTACAAAGAACACTACATACTTATTTTCTAACAAAAAACAATAAAACAGTTTATGTAGAACAAAATGGCTTCTCAATGAAAATTACTCGCTGCTTACGTACAGAAAACGAACAAGCCAATTTCCAGGTTTACCAACACCGCTGTCTTGTCTTGAAATTCTGTGCCAATGAAAATGATGCCTATGCGCACCTCTTAATTGCCGCTTGGTGGTTGGTTAAAATGTCTTGTACACTGCTGCCCCGTGATTCGTTGTATGCGTTCCCGCGCAGAAATGTCTACATGTAGCGAAAAATGGATTCTTCCACCAAAATGGTATCACCCTTTTAACCTTTACCCTCGTCATTTTTTTTAACACCTATACTCGCGCACGGTGTCACAGATCGATAGTTCGTACCCCTATAAAATGCTTTTTTACTATGAAGGCCAAAAATTATTGTTATTATTTTAAATATTAGGATATAAGGAAACAAAATAATATGAATAATACTTATTTTAATAGTTATTTCACTGACTATCAGTCTTATCACAAACAAGTCTTTGAATTTGAGATTTTTACTTAGCTCTAGGAAAACAAAAATAAAATCTCTTAAAAACAAAATAAACTTCTAAATAATAATAAAAAACACTTTAAATCACATATTTATATATGTTTGGCTTAGTTTTGACCATCAGCGTAACAATCAGGGCATACTGTTACGGCGTGTTCCAAACAGAAGAATTTTTTACATGTGGTGTATTTGTAACGTGTCTTGCGGTTTTTTTTTGAGGAACACTATCCACAACGACCAACTTTATTATTGTTAGATGTCGCTGAAGACTCGGGTCCATCTAATTTAATATTATATTTATTTCAGCGCGCCTGAGCCTTAAAGTTCTCGGCAAGGATGTCATGAGAGGCCGACGTCTAAGGTGCGGATTGATCAGGTCGTAAGCTAAGGCTTCAAGAAAGATCATGCGGCTAATATTCTTGGTAGGGTTGTTGTGCAGGTATATTACAAAAGTATTTATACCCGCTACGTTCATCAGGCTATAAAATACCACCATTGGCCATCTATTTGTACCACGTGCAACGTTGTAACACTCGCACATTTTGTCCACAGTATCTACTCCACCTTTGGTTCTATTGTAGTCCATTATCATTTCCGGCTTACGTGTATCAACATTGATCTCGGCATCATCGTGCATGCTGGATACAAGAAGGACATTTTTGCCCTTTTTCGGTACATAGGATACTAGACTGCAATTGCCCGAATAAACTGGATTTTTCGGCTCTACCTCTTACTTCCGTGAATTCTTTAGGCAACTCCCTTTTGTTTTTACGAATCGTTCCAATGACAGTCAATTTGTATTGAGACTCAAGCTTATCTAGCAATGGAATGCTGGTAAAAAAATTATCACAGGTGATATTACGCCCAGTATTGTAAATATTTTCACTCAGTCGCAAAACCAAAGCCACAGCGGAGTCGTCGACTTGATATGGACCGTCTGGTTGTTTTCCCAGGTAGACTTCCATGGTTTGCGTATAAAACATCTTGGCATCTGTCAAGGCGTATATTTTTATCCCATATTTGTTGGGTTTCGACGGAATATACTGACGAAAGCCACAACGTCCTCTAAAAGCCTCTAATTTTTCGTCAATCGTAACATACTGTGACACACTGTAATATTTTTTGAACGCTCCCACAACTTCATCGAACAACTCTCTAATAGGTGCCAGCTTGTCCAGATTGAGTCTCTCTTCTCGTGTATCTTTGTTGTCAAATCTGAGACAACGCATCAATAAATAGAACCTGCTAAAGTTCATAGTCAGTCTAAATATCTCTGGGGATGATCCGTCTGTTTTGAAAAAATCTTTGGCATTTAGACGTCCGTTTCTTCTGACTCCAGTAAACAGAAAAAGACCTAAAAAGGCTTCAATTTCAATGTTGTCTGTGTCAGTACAGTATCTTTCTCTTGAGAAATTAGGTTTCAGTCGATTGATCTGCTCATTAGTGTACTTTACGATCAGATTTATAGTACCCTCAGAGAAGAAAAGCTTCCATATCTCACCTGGTTCCTTCAAATTTCTAGCTTCTCCTCTAGCACCTGGAAGTTGGGTAACTATATTTCTTGCTCGTCGCCTAGTTGGATTAGCAGGAGGAGATTTATTCCACCATGTCCTTCCATCTTTTCCTAAGTAAAAATCGCGGGAACTCTCACTACCTTCTACCTCACGTGGCTCTTCATCGTCGCCCTCTTGCTCGGTGTCGTAAGTCTCTGTCTGTTCCTTCACATGGTCTTCCACCTCACTGTCATTTTCGTCCTCGTAGCTAGAACTAGAACTTGATTCCTCCAGCAGCAATCTGATTCGATCATCGTCCATTTTGTAAAGTTTAACCTAAAAAGAATAACAAAATTGGTCAAAACATAACGTAGACTCACAAACATACATACCTTTTGCTTTGCCATAAGTCATAAAGTATTCAAAGTCTGTAAAAAACATAAAAATGTACAAAATAAAACATTGATACTTACCTACCTATATTCGCGTCGGTCTCAGAGACCGATTGGCGCTAATTGCTGTTACACGTCTGCTCCGCACAGATGCGTAGCGTGCACTAAAATGAAGTTAGCAACAAATCCGGCAGCTAGCTAGGAACTCGACTTCCTAGAAATTCCGTGCATTAAAATATTTACGAAAATGTGTGTTGTCGGTCTCACAGACCAATGCGCGAGTATAGGAAGGTTAAATGAAGATGTATGTTGAATCTTGAATGTATTGGATTTTTCTGCAGTTTTATGCTTTATTATATCGTCGCAAGCACAAACCGAACCGTTATATGATTCCAATTGTGATGCTTATCGCAGTGAACTCGAGCTTGGTTTTCGCTGCTGAAGGTGCCAAATCTCCGTGGTCGTATGGACCAATGTTGAGAGCGTGGACTGTAGGTTGCTGATGATAAAAAACACCTTTGCTGGACGAAACTAATTATATTTAAATTATGCAATAACTTAATTACAGTGAGCAACGTATAGCGTCTGTTGGACAATATCGTGGGAACAAGTTAGTATCAACAACAATTATTACTCAATAGACCTTATATTTTGTGACTCTTATTATATTAAATTTGGTCGCATTTTGAAATGCAGGGTGAATGAAAAATATTGTAAATGTACTGATAATATGCATCATAACTAGATCTTAGGTAAAATATGCTATAACCGCTGAGAATGCATATCCGAATATGCAAATGCAAATAATCCGGTCTCTAATAATAGTTATACTATATGTACCTTTTCCCAAATAGTGCTGGTTTCGAGCTATCTACTTACTTTGGTCCTTCTCTTCAAATTCTCCCAGCAATTTTTTAATACGCCCAATCTCGAGGATGGATCGGAGAACTGGCATTATATTCCTCCGCTATTTTTTGCTAATCTAAGGTTTTATTTCTTGAACTTAAAGCTTCGTCCTTTTGCATCCACTAGATTCGATTTCTCGCTGGCGAATAAAAACTCTTTTCCGCTTTATAGGAAGTCCGGCTGAAGTCATTTCGCTGGCAAGTGGTCACAAAAAAAAAAACAAGGAATCTAGTCCGTTAGAGCAAGCAATGGTCGTCGTTAGATCACACAAATGCCAAGAATAAAAGCGGGAGTTACAAATTATTAAAGAAAGCAGACACGTCAAGTGGCCGCAGATTATGATTACAATGTATTGATATAGTTAGTAGGGTTACCCCATTATCTTTTGCGATATTCAATACCACGGGTGCTAGATGGCTGGCGTGATTGTCAACAATCAGTTACGTCGGATTTTCTTTCGAAGATGCTGTTCATAATGTTTCATAACTTCAGGAAACAACTCACTATTCATCCGGTGGGTTGAGCTAGCCCTAGTGTTCCTAATGGTGCACCGTGATATGAGAATTATTTTCTCATAAACACCATTACTGGGGAATTGCTAATCCCGATACAGATACTGTACGACACGTTGCAACCACTATTCCTCTCACAGCGCTCGTTACTTTATTCATCTGTTTAGCTCCCTTGACCGCAAAATAAGTTTTTTTTTGTTTTTGAACTATAGTTGTTCCAGTTTGAACCAAGCAGTAAACTCAGCTATCGTTTGAAAAGTTAGGGTATCGCCGCCTGACATTCTCCAAATTAGTGAAGAATATGTTTACATTTTGGCAACTGTACGATGTTGCGCGTGACAAGCAGCAAGGTTCTGGTTTTCGTAATGTTAAGTCTGTATGGCATTTTCTAAATCCATATAGCCAGTGAACTCCCGCTATCTTTTCATCTTCCCAGTTTTTTGTTCAAATTATTATAAACATCCATTTCGTATGCGAGTTTGCTGCATTTCTGCATGCAATTTTATCTATACCGTAATACATTTTAGAACAGCTAATTAAATACTCCAATGCGTTTTCTTGATCAGCATTGAATACTGTTCTATTAGCATAATTTGGAGTAAGTTGCATATGGTCAGCTTCTTGCCCTGAACTTCTTAATTCTTTTTAACATATCTTTTCAGTATCATGATTTTTACATGATGTGTATGATGATGTCGGTTTAATTGTATCCACTCTTAATTAACCTTGGCCCCAATGGCCTCAGAGATTCATATATTTCATGTATTTTTAGGATGTAACAATGAATAATAATGTCGTTTATAAATACAACAATTCTTTTTAATTATATAATACTTGGCTGAATGATTAGCTCCTAAACAATTAAAACATAAACCGGAAGACTGCATAAAATTACGACGCGTGTCACAATTTCCCTTTGCAAACTTTTTGCAGGTACTTATTTTGTGGCTTTCAATACAAAAGTGACAATTTACATTAGTCATTACATGAAATACTAAACGTATTACTAAATTGAGACTTATTTACATGTTTACTTTCAATAAAGCTCAATAGCGAGTTCCTATGAACTCCTTAAATTGACTAAAGGTATGTAGCTTATCTGTCGCATTGCTATTTGGTATTGTTAATTCCCACTGACGTTTAGTTTCAGAATTGATTTAATAGTTAAAGTGATAAATTAACAATAATAATGTTCCATAAATCTACCGGAATATTTAAATTTTGTTGAATTTTTGGGCAATGGCCCATTACGTTTCAACTGTGGAGACTGTCTTTGTCGAGGAAAAATAAATAATGGAGACACATAAATGCCTGCATCTCTTATAGCACAAATTGCTATAATATTTTTACCCTTCTCGCATGAAGTAGCTGCACCAACACGCTTCCGTTCTTTGAGAGCAATAATATTGTCTGGCTCCTATATAGTCTGTAGTAAATTCTGTCTCGTCCACGTTGAATATGTTATGTTGATCAAAATAAAATTTTGCCATTACAGATTCAAGATTATTGATGAAACGAGTGACTTTAGTCTTATTAACACTTAGTACAGAATTCCATTAATACGGTCGTTATGGGCTTTCTAATACTGAGCACAGGGTATCTGTTCTTAAGCCCAATCATTCCCAGCAATTTTGTATTCAGCATTAAATCTATTTTCAATACCATATTTTACGAATTTCAAACGAATTAAAAATATCAAGTATATGGATAAGAAGTATCTGTTCTTGTTCACTAGTAGTTTTCAACCAAGCAGCGGAAGACGATTTTAATTAATATTACTATTTGCTAACCTGTACCGTTTCTTCAGGGTGCTATTGGGTATTTGAAGACTGTGACGCTTTATTCACTGATATTGCTTCATTTCGTATAGTTTCTTTTGCCGACTCTAATCTAGTGGAATTGCAACCAGATTTTGATCTTGGTTATCACATAGTTTATACCAAAAATAAACACGTCATTGTGATTATTTAATAAATAAAATCTTTCGTCTACGGAGGATAAAACTTCATCGAATAAATAAAAAAAAATTATAAGCGGTTTTCGTATCATTTACAATATGGTCTTGATTTTCATAATCAAAACTCTTTGGAGTCTTACGATGTCTTAGCGGTCTAGATCTGGAAGTTTCGAATTCAGCCTCGACATCTATGTTTTCAGCAATTTTCATGGCATCATTTACAATTTCTTCAAAATTTGCGTCGTTTCTTAATTTTTATCTGTAGAATTTCATTCACTAAATTTACTTTTGTCAATATTATATGCCATATATTTAGTGAACAAATTAATGGAAAGGAGCATATTTTTTCTGCTAGATCTTTAGCGTCATATTTTGTCTTCTGATCATATGTTATACCATAATAATACAACACAAATTTATGGCAAATTTGTAAACAGCGGCTTGATAGCATTTATTCTGCTCGACCATCTTGTTTCACACAATGGTTTTAACCCTAGAGTAGTCGCGCTTTTCCTTCGAACGCGAGTGCTCGCGTGGGAAGCATTTTGCCGCCCATACTTAACATGATTTTTTGTTCAATATAATAGATGAATCAGTTTGTAATTATTTTTAGGGGATAAAATAAACCATAAACTATTAGAAAAAATAACATTTATTATAGTTTTACATTTAATAATAGAAAATCTTAAGTAAACATTATTGAATTTTAAAGTCTTTGTCTTAGCTTACATAAAAAAAAGAAAAATCTAACTCTTTAATAAAATTAAACGTTTTCATTATCTGCAATATGCATTTCAGCAAAACAGTCCTGGCACATGTACATACAATGTTCGTTGCACAGTAACTTTGCACATCTATTGCACCTTTTTTTGGGCATACACCTTGTCTACCTGAAGGTATATCTTGATGTTCAGATGGCACAAATCGGGAGATTTGGTTCCTCAGTTGTTTCTGTAAAGTATTTACGTTAGATCTTCTGATTATGTGTGGTCTGGTCATATCAAGAGCTTTTTTTCAAGAAGGTTCGTCGTACTAATAAGTGTTTTGTATTTTATCTGTATATTGTTTGGCTATTTATGCCGGTAATATTTATGATTGAGAAAAATAACCTCATCGGCCACCTGCGCGTCACGGCCTATCACGGTCACATCACGGCCACGGAATATTCCTCTTTCATTTGATCAACTACGTTAAATCCACCTTTGGTTGCATTGTAATATGTTATGATTTCGGGTTTCATAGCAGCACCGGATTATGCCATTTTCTCTAATCTGATATGTTTCTGACAGTTAGTGACAAAAGCTTCAAATATATTCCTCATTTCTGCAATGTTATCAATTTTAGCGCGTTCTGCTCTGGTTTGCACATCGTCGAAACGAATATTTCACCTTGTACTTCGGGGGATTTATGACAATATTTTCTTGCCTTGTTCTAATATTAGGCCTTGAAGGAGGTTGTTGTAGCCATTTACTTCCATCTTTTTCTTTGTATATAGACACTCTTGCAGCTCATCGCGATTGATGGCTCATCATTGTCAGACCCTGCTGCCGATTGTTCTGTGTCAGTATTATGATCACTATGTTCACTTTCAGATACATTTTCGAATAAACTTTGTGCACCATTTTCTTCTAAATCCGACATCTCTTCCAACCATGAAACTATTTGTGCGTCTTGTTTATTCATTTTCCACAGTTCAGACGTCGCTTTCCTAGAAATGTAGTAAATAAACTAATTAAAACAATAAAAAATAAATAATAAGTTGTAAAAAATTTAATATCAATATTATTACTTACAACGTTAGCACATATAATTTTACTTACGTGAATAGTCTAACGTGACCATTTATTGTTTGACTCAAAACGGGACATCGGTTTATTTCGATCAAATAATAGGTTGTCAATGAAAAAAAAACACTTTTTAAAGTTATTTATTCAGAAAAAGTTGGTTAAAAGTTACGAATCACAAAATATAGGTACCCAAAATGTTTAATTATGTTTATATTTATCAGCGGAACAAATTTGTTTTAATATAGCTGGAGACGATTTCAAGTAAGAATAAAACTCTTGGCACGTTTTTTTTATATTCACCTTAATTATCAACATCGCCTTTAGAACTGAAATTTCTAACTGGGTTTTTTCAGATGTCCACAATTTGTTCATAATCGAAAATACTCTTTCTACTGGAGCATTTGTAGCAGGCAAACATAAAATATATTCAATTAAAATCGAAAAGTTTTCATGCTGAAGATTATTGGCGCGAAAGTGTTTGAATAGTTCCACCCAACGGGTTTCCGTGGAAACATTTAAATTTTTCCATTCAGTCACTTTTTGCGATGTAATGTAATTAGAAATTAATAAAAATTCGTCAAAAACTTCAGTATCCTTATTACAATCAATATATTGTTTTTCAATTAATACATCCAGAGATTTTTGAATGTCTTCCCATGTAGGGACCTTTTTTAAATCTGCCCAATAAAATATCTCCATTTCTTTGGTAAGAAAGTAAGTCCACTGGTCCAGATATTCACGGCTTGTTTTATAAAATTCTGTAGCCGTCCTCTTCACAAATTCTTCATCAATATCAGTACCAGTATTTTTCAATTTTAACATTAATTGACGGACAGTAAATGGAAGAAACTGATTGGTCTGTTTCTGAGTTAAATTGTCTTTTAATTTATTGATTTCTTTTGCAATACTATTCAATAGTCGCGCAGTGAGCAATTTGCCGCCGAGCGCGACACAGGAACAAGAACTTTTGTTTTCTGCGGTCGCCCGCGCACTAAATTGTTTCCATTTTCTAAAATAAATAGGTAAGTCACACTGCCTTGTTGAATTAACCAAGCCCATTTTTTAACCATCATGTATGAACGTGCGTGCAAAAATTTCGTCGGGTGTTTTTCCTTTTTTAACGAGGAACTTAATCACAGCGCGTTGCTCCAAATTGCGCGAAATTCCAGTTTCTGTTGACATGGTGTTGTTGCTTGTTTTACAGGTAAAGTGTTTATGAACAAAAATGAAAAAGACCCTCTAATTATAACAATGATTTCCTCTATCAGTACTATCATTTGCGAGATGATTAGACATCGTTAAGTGCCTTAGGCCACGAACTTATCAGCCGCCCCTCGTATCTGGAATTCTATGTTTTGTATATGTATTTCCATTGATTTCACATTCCATTTTTACTTCACCTAATGTCTCTATAACTGAACCATTATATGAATATTCTATTCTATATTAAATATAATATATTATATTCTTGAAAATTGACGAAGCGCTGCTCAGACAAAGCGTGGCCCATAGAAGCGAAAATGTGGTGGTCGGATGGAGCAAGGTCTGGACAATATAATAGGGCGGGTGGGGCAGGATCATTTCTTTTGTCACATTTGTCCTGTGAGAAAACAACATATAGAAAAGTTGCAATTTTTTTATTGGAACTTGTAGTCGGATTCGTTAACAACAATATTCAGCAACCTAAGCAGACCCCACAGCGGTATAGGCACAAATCAAATTAATTGATTATAAAAATATTGTTGTCGTTATCGTACTTAATAATTATGATAAAAAAAAAAAAAAGAACTAGATGGCGTTGTAGTCTGTTTTACCGAGGCTTGCTGGCGGACGCTGATTGCATTACTTGACAGCAACACTTTGTATTTTGTTTATTTCTTTCTTGTTGTCTGCTGCCACTTCTGCAGCCTTACATGCTATAATTTGGCATAAGCGTACAGAACAAATCGAACTTCTCAAGTACATTTTTGTATTTCGTTTTCGATTTGTTAAATTCAAAATTATTATATATTTTAACTCGGCTAACTTTCCAGTTAAACTCTTGGGCTATTTTGAAAGAAATTTAATTGATGACAATTGTAAAATAATTTACTTGATACTTATGTATTTAAAAACTTATGGGAACAAAAGATGACATCTCTAATTGACAAACAAACCGGAAGAAGAAAGGTCGAAAAGGTGAAAAATCACAGATAATACAGTGCAACCTCGATATAACAAATCGGAGGGGAACAAGAAAATATTCGTAATATCAAGTAATTGGTGGAACTGAGGTTTGTTATATTGAGTTTAGGTTGGTCTAAAATTCGTTATAAAGAGGTAAAAGAATAGTTTTATTCACCTCAACATTACGTACTTATCTGGTTATAGCGAACAACTTCTACTAATAAATGATAACACATTTTTATCAAATTACTATATGTATTTGCTATGTATTTAAAAACAATTAGGTAGGTAATAAATTTTTTTCTTACATTAATAATCAAAAAGAATTAACAATGTGGTTATAGTAGCTTAATCTCAATTTTGCTTATCTTGATTAGAAAAAAAGTCATTAATAGTTGTCCTTTTACCACCGGTAAGAGTTATCACATCCAAAGCGCAATCTAATTTCGTGATGGATTTTACTACATCGTCACTCAAACCTCCCTTTTTGAGACACAGATTTTATTATATTCAAAGCATTATACGCATCTTTTATTGTGAAGTTATGCTCATTAATTTCACCCTCTTCTTCCTCATCTTCATCCGCTTCTGCATTAGTAACTGGCTAAATCATTATCAAAGGTAACGAAGTCTTCGAACTCAGTCTCTTGAAGGTGTATTTCTTCTTGAACTCTTTGTCTGGTCCTAGCAAGTTTTGCGACTGGTAAATCATCCTCCTCATCTTCGCATGTTACTTTAAGCCCACTTTTCTTGAAGCAGTTTGCAATGGTCTTTTCAGTGACTAGATTCCAAGCTTTGGCGATTATCCACATGGCTTGTAAAACGTCAATTGTAGTTGGTGTTTGACGTTCAACATCAGCAAGAAATCGTCTGATAACATCCTTCCTATAATGCATTTTGAAGCTTTGGATGATGCCCTGATCCAGTGGTTGTAGTTTTGAAGTGGTATTTGGAGGTAAGTACTTTATTTTTATATTTTTCTGGTTAGGTATTTCTCCGTGTGCAGTACAATTATCGATGAACATTAGAATTTTCTTGTTTTTTTCTTCATCTCTTTATCCAGACTTTTAAGCCAATTGCAAAAAGCATCACTGGTCATCCAAGCCGTATGGTTGGACGTGTAATCTGTTGGCAGATTTTTGACATTTTTAAAACATCGCGGTTTTTGATATTATCCGATGATGAGTGGCTTAAGTTTGTAAGTCCCAGTACAATTTGTTCCCAGCAGTACTGTTAAGCGAAGTTTGCTGTTTTTTCCACCATTGCATTTATCGCTTTTGGATGATAAGGTTTTGTCAGGTAAATATTTATAGAATAGTCCAGTTTCATCGGCGTTAAAGATGTTTTCGGGATCGTATCCGGTGGTCAGCTCTGCCAGTTTGTCTTTCCAATCAACACATACTTGTTCTTTAACACTACCACTTTCACCGCATATTTTTCAAAAAACAATTTTGTTTCGTTTTTTGAATTTTTGAAGCCACCCGTTGCTGGCACGGAACCCTTCATGTCCCAATTCTACTGCAAACCGCTGAGCCTTTTCCTGAAGAATAGGGCCTCCGATTGGGATTTTTTGTCTCGGCACTGTTATAACCACTTTAACACACATTCCTCTACGTCTTTGAACATTCAAACCACTTTCTTATTGTAATCTCTTGAAAACTTATCTTTTAAATTTTAAAATTGTAGCCAATGTACTTGCGGGAATCACGAACTTATTAGCTATGTCTAATTTTATCGTCATAGGATTTTGGTCAATATAATTAATGATGTTTCGCTTTTCTGCGACCGATAAGGTTTTACGTTTAACGTTTCTTTAACGTTTCTGAGCCATTTTAACTTAAATCTTTAACAATAGTGACGAGCAGAAGTGTTTACATTACTTTCCATCAAACAACAATGTTTACTTTACGAACAAAAGCGTGTCGAAACATGTTGAGACATGAATCACATTATAAGATTAAAGATAAAGATAAGATTAAGAGTTATATTATTGGTAGGAACTTTATATAAAGGTTTTGGGTTGATAAAATTCGTTAATTAGAGGTATGAATACTTTTTCTTGATAGTTGAAAATTAGTTAAAAGATGTTGTTCGCAAAGAATGTTCGCAATGTAAAGGTATATTTTATATTGACTCTTATGGACAACTCAAGGGGATTACGAAGAATTTGTTAAATCAAGGAAGTGGTTATATTGAGGTACGTTATATTAAGGTTGCACTGTATAACAACAGAGAACATATAAAAGTTGTACAGAGTAGGTTGGAAGTCGTATGCCCGTTTTCACCAACGTCTACCTAAGTTTAGGGGCCACATAACGTCAGTTTAGGGGTCCGCTAGTATGAAATTCGTTTTCACCAACCTTTAGGTAACTCCTAAGTCCTTAGGGATCCGTTATATTTTAGGAGCTCGATATTTCACTCCCTAACTCTTAGGTGACAGTTATTTAGTGATTTCTAACCAAATCTTGCGTGTTAATAATCTTTTACGAAATGCAGAGTTCTGTGTGGGAATATTTAGAGAGTTTGGAAGAGATTGAAACGGTAGATATGCTATTTAACCACAGATTGTTTAGAAGACCACGTGTTTACCGCGAACGACAAAATAACTTTAATAAATATGATGATATAGATTTCTTCATGAGATATAGGTTATCTAAACAGACTGTTTTATTTTTAGTGGAGAAAATCGAGAAGAAATTAGAATTTAAAGATGATAGGTGAGTAAACTAATACTTTTTATTTAATAATATTTTCTTAACGAACATGCTTTATTGAGAAATTTCTCCACATAATGTACATACTACATGATTAGTCAAAACTAACTCTGTATATTATCGTTTCAGAAATAGATCAGTGCCATTTCAGAAATAAATCAACTTTTGTGCACATTGAGATACTTTGCAACCGGCAATTTTTTATTAACTGTGGGTGATCTAGATGGAATTAGCGTTGCTATTTGTAGTCGCATTGTGTTGCAAATGCAATAGTATCTCTCCGAAACGAATTCATACATTTTCCAGAGTGCGAAGAAGATATATCTACTGTAAAAGGACAGTTTTATAAAGTGGCACGATTTCCCAACGTACTGGGTTGCATAGACTGTACTCACATAAAAATTCAATCGCCAGGTATTTAAAGAAAAAATTGTTTTAACAGTTGTGATGTTTATTTACCTACAAACTACCATAATTGATTTTATTATTAAAACTAGGAGGTGAAGATGCAGAGCTATTTCGCAATAGAAAATCGTACATGTCAATAAATGTGCAGACAATCAGCGATGCCAATTTTGTTGATATTGGATGTAGTTGCCCGTTGGCCAGGTTCAACACACGATTCCACTATATATCAGAATAGCAGACGGTACAGTCAATTTGAGAGTGGTAAATATGGAGCGGCTTATCTGTTGGGAGACAGTGGTTATCCTTTGAAGGTAAAATAAAACACTATTGGCATTATGCGGCACTTACTTAAATATAAATAAAACAGTCATTATAAATAAAATCTTTTTATTTACAATATTTAATGCTGCTTTGGTAACCCATACAGTGTTTGCAAATTTGAGGGGCCACCTGGAAAATGTAAATAAAATTAATTTCAGTTACTATAATATTCCTTATTACCTATATTCTTGTGTAAATATGTCATTTCAGAGTCATCTCTTAACTCCATAGTTAAATCCATCAACCCGTGGAGAACAGTACTATAATGAAGCCCGTATAAAGACAAGGAACATTGTTGAACGTCAGTATGGGGTATTAAAAAGGCGATTTTCAGTTTTAGCTGTAGGGATTCGTCTAAAATTGACTACAGCAATTGATGTTATCCTGGCATGTTGCATATTGCACAACATATGCATATTAAGAAAAGAGCAGGAGCCCAACCAAGATGTATATATTCCAGAGTTAGATGAGTTGATTCGAAATGGCCAAATACCCAGAGCACCTATTACAGGCAATGACCCCAGTTATGGGTTTCAAAGAAATTTAATAACTCAATATTTTAGTAACATAAGATAACTGTTAATAATTAATCTGGATATAATATTAATAAAATACCTTTTAATTGACTTAAAACTTCGTTTTTAATTTCAACTTCCTTTGCTGCTGATTGCAATTGTAATTCATACAATTTCCTTTTAAATTGGATTTCATCTTCCAGTAATTGCCTTTTTAGATCCTCTATAGATTCCTTTTTTTTATTTATACTGGTGTAGCTATTACATAATGATGACATAGCTTCAGTCCGTTCATTTGTATGCAATAGCTGGGGTCGTCTTCTGGACCATAAGGGTGTACTTGGGACATCCTTCTGAAAGTAAAATATAACAATATTGTAAAGGTTTTAATATAATACAAGAAACTGTTATATTATTATATTGCAACTATATGAGCACAGTAAAAATGTGAAGATAAGACTCATTCACAATTTGTGTACTTTTACATAGTATTTTTTAAAAAGAAAACAGGTTTTAATCATTACCCTATTAGCTTCTGGATCTACATTTTCTTTGGTACATTCTTCAGTGTTCTCCATCTTCTCTTCTATTTCTACATTTAATACATCTAGTACTATTTTTTTTTGCAGGAATGTCTTCACTATATTCAACACTATGTATAATTTCAAAATCACTATCTTGTACACTCAAAATGCCAGTACACCCCCGACCGAGTAAGCCACAAACTTGCTCCATGATAGGATCGACCTTTACCTCGGAAGGGCCCCCTCCAGTAGCAATTATATTGCACCTATTGGACTGATAATATAATTTACTCTCTGTCTTCATTTTATCCCACAGTTTCATTAAGGAATCTTTAGGTCTGAAAAATAATATTTTGTTATTGCACTAGTATTTAATAGTTATATGTGATAATCAACCTAGTGGATGAGGAAAAATAAAACAACTTACCTATATATTGTCGATGATGAGTTATAAGCATTGGTTACTTCGATCCAAGCTTTATTTTTTGCTTCATTTGTTGAACCATCTGTTCTTTTATTTAAAATTGTTTCTTTGTGAGAAGCCAATAGCTTTACTAGTCTATCTTTCTCATAAATACTATAATTTTGACTACGTTTCCTTTTCTCGGCCATGGTAATTAGTTTACAAATGATTTTGAATATTAATCTTAAATAAAACACCACATGAAGATCGACGCAAATGTAAATAAAAATAATTTAAAACTTTTTGTGAAGTTAACTGTTTGACAGCGGCAAAAGCATTGCGTTCATAGAGCCAATACACGTTATTGTAATAATTTTTAGCTGCTGGCAGTAGAAAACGATATTAAAATGACTTATATTATGCAATATAGTCATGTAATACAAAAGTCTATCAAAATAACTATACATTTTAAGATAAATGTAATATAATCGCAACAAAAGGAACACTTAATCGATACTTTTAGTCACTACTAAAAAAAACCTGTCACTTACTTAAGGAACTCCTAAATAGGGCGCACCTAAGGTGGTGAAAACGGATTGTACTTAAGTGTCTGATTTAGGTATTCTCTAATCTAAGGGATACTTACTTAAGGATACGTTCGGACTTGGTTGGTGAAAACGGGCATTAGACTTTTACTTTACGATACAGATTAAAATATTCTAACATTAATGTTTAAAAACAAAAGAACATAAACATCAGACACGTATCACAATGGTAGCTTTCACTTTCTCTTTGTGGCGTCCCTTTATTCCTTACGGTTACGAGCGCGGGCAGCGCGTCGTGGCCTGTGATTGGTCGGTGCGACGCGTTTGGGTCGATTTTGGAGGCACGGTTTGAAATAATTGTTTATTTTGACGAAATTATGCACAATATTAATATTTTTGATAAATTTACACTAATAAAGAGCGACGTATAATTTTCTTGAACATTGTTTGATCCCTAAAATTGGGTCAATCGATGGCGTTTAATAACGCGTAGCACCTTCTCTGCTCTGTAAGCACTCTCTAAGTCATTCTGGAACACTCTATCAGATGGGTTACATTTTCATTAGGTATTCTTTCCCAAATCTGTTTCAAATTATTTACGAGTTCCGGTTTGTCCATGGTCCAGCTCATCGTGAAGCTTAAATTTCGTACGCAAGCATTTAGATGCTTACGTACGAAATTTAAGCTTCACGATGAGCCCTCGTAAGTTTAGGTCGAATAACACGTCTTGCTCATTGTGCATGCTTATGCAGTCTGTTGAGAATGGTTTGATCACTTACGTGTATACCAGTAGCTTGCCGTAACCGATTTTGTAAGATGCGCGCGGTAACAGTGCGCTCTCGACGTGCAATTAATCGAATATACCGATCTTCCAGGGTGGTTGTGACTCGATTTCTTCCTGATCCGTGTCTCCTAGCGATACTGCCAGTCTCATCAAATCGATTCCACACATTTCGGATGGCCCGACATGAAACACCAAGACGCTGTGATTCTCCCTCTTGTAACAAAACAACCGCCCTTGTAGCGGTTTCCAAGTCCATATGACGACGAGAACCAGGCATATCGAACGAGATTAATACCGGAACTAAACACAACAGTTGAACAAGATGAATGTTAATTTTAACGCTTGCGACGAAACTCGAAACACAAATGATTGTGAAATTGTGCATAAATTGAATTCTAAGCACTTAAGTTTTTTGTCTACCCACTTAAGAATAACATTCAAATTGCTATTCTTTGAATGCATAAACATGTCAACGTTATGTTTAAACACTCGAATCCATTAAACATTAACTACTAAGTATCATAATTATCAATATTGTAAATAACTCGTAGTGGGTCCTATTTTGTTTTGAGTAGTTTATATATTTCGAGCGCTTCTTCTACCATACATTGCAGAAAAAGGGCGATCTTTCCATCTTCAGATAGTTTTTCCATTGCCCCACTAGCAGTAGCGTAGATTTCGAACCTTTGTTTCTATAGGACACAGTCACCTAGATACATCAAAATAATAATTGCATTTAATAATGTCTAGTAAGACAAATTCAATATTGTCTGCTAAGCACTGCTGTGTCTAAACTGTGTTACCCCACCTTACATTTTCCTATTGTTATTTAGTATATAAGATCATTATTTCTATGTACATATTGTCAGTCTATTATCATCTGTAATATACATCGTCTCGACCAATAACATCGTATCATTCACCCGCAACAGTTTCCATTTTTTATAATTTTCACCCGCTCCTCCTTGCAATTTAATTACAGTTACAATCGACTGCGCTATATAATGTTTAGAAAACAACGATTATTCAAGCAACTTTTATTTGTTTTAAGCAATTATTACAAAAACTATATACTTTCATGTTGCATTGATAACTGAATGACTGACTGACGTAGATAAAGCTATCATAGATTAAGTATGTAAACATTCTATTCCCATTACAGTAATTAAAAAGCAAATGCTTAGCGTTTGGGCTATGGGCGTTACGATTGCGGAGCAGGTTTGTAGGGGATAGCCCTGAATATATTTCGTCAGGTCATCTTGAACAGCTAATATGAACTTGAAATTATGATGATGTGTTTCCGGAAGCGGCCCTACGAAATGTATAAAAAAAAATTCATTAGGCGTGGGTGTTATTATGGGTGCTTTGTTTGTACGATGTAGTGGATTGTTATCCAGGATTGATATCCAATTATTATTACGTCTTACGTAATCTTATATGTCTTGGCGCATGGTTTTTCACCAACACATTAATTAATATCGAACATAGATACATCGGGGTGACTGGAGGGTCGTGGTACTCTTTAATGTAGGAACTTCCGTGGGAGTTCAGAAGGTTAGGGGGGGGGAGAGTTGTATATGTTGTCGCGCGATTGGCAACGATGGGAAAGTTTGTCGTTGCGACTTTGGAAAGTTTTGGAAATTTCATATCGTCCCAAATTTCGTTGTCATCTCTCTTTAATGGTGCTACAGGAGATGAAAGGTACATGTGGATCTCGGTTTAGCTGATGGAGCGGAGAGGAGAAATTAGATTTTTCTACTGATTTATTTTAATAGTCAACTGTTCTGTCTTTCTCCCGTAAAACATCAATTAAATCACTGATATGACTGTAGCTTGATGGTAATGGTTTCAAAATGCAATTTAATTTTTTTTGTTCAGTCACAGTTGCACCAACCTGTTTATGTTTAATCTTATTCACAAACTTCTCAAAATCATCTAAAAATAAAATTAATAGTAATTTTTTAGCTTAAAAATTTTCTAAGACATTTCTGCATACAATTTGCAATGACATGGAAGTTTTCAAATACAATCGAATTTTGCCATAATATCAAAAGCAGACTCAAATTCATGGATGTATTCCAATTGCTTGTTTGTTATTGCGCCATAAATATAGTTTGTTGTTTGAATATCTTTTTCATCCTATTTTCTTTATCACCGTGTAATATATAGAACAATAATTTGTACCCATTTTAATATAGCAGTGTGTAATAACCCTTACAGTAATCTAGGCTGGACAAAATTCTTTGCGTTTCTCTGACGACAATTAAATTAAAATTTATATTTCGATAGATTTGTTTTTAAAGCTGCCAGTGGTGTAGTAATTAATAAATATTTTTATAAGAACATTATATTTTTTTAAAAGTCCTCCTCGGCTGTGATATAATTAGCATGGACTTTTCGTTCAACAACTTCATTACACTTTTTAAACTGCAGAAATTTCAGCAATCGTACTTTACAATTGAAGTATTCCAAACCGTCGCATAGCGGTATACCTATCTCACTGCTTCTTGCATACGCCATTTTTAGGCTTATATCCTTTTACACACTTAGAAGTAAATACTTTAAATCTTACTAATAATTCAGTAACCAAGCTCTGCTATCATGTTAAGTTGATGGGTGAAAAGTTCCGACGCACAAATTCCTTATTTTACATTTTATTTAAATTTGACAACTTTTGGATTATATTATTTACAACAATATTACTATATAGCACATAGCATATACTGAACAACAAGGTGTTGCCGGTTTGGTAAAGATACATGTATCCTAACCAAGACAAACTTAAAAATAAACAATAATATTTTTATTATCACTATTAGCTCAAAGACATAAAATGATTAACTAAATATTAGATAAAAATTTCCTCGCCACATTAAAACAAAAAACAAAGGAAGGACTGTATTTTTAATTTTATTTCTCAAGTACGTCTATAGTTCCAATAGTAATTGCGTTGGCGGGCATATTCCATTTATCGCGAGACTGCAACGATTACAGTTACTCCGCTCTCCATCGTTTCCAGAACGTAGCGTGAAACAAAAAACTGAAATAAATTTTCGCAGCGGGCAAATATTTTAACGGTGTAAGATTTAAAAAATGTGCGGGCGTGAGTGCGAGCGTCTCAGACAGATCACTAAACAAAGTCCGACATAAAGGTCGAGTATTCATGACAGCTTCTATTTGCGTGAGTATAGTAATCATTTCCTCAAAGGACAAAACCTGATCCCCAATGACCCTGAACAAATGCGTAGTTAGACTCATTTTATTAGTCTCCCAGTTCCCCCGAAATTACTGGCGGTGGTGGTGTTTAGAGACCAAGTTATGCGGTTTTCTAACAAAGTGTGTGCGAATTCAATGTTATAATGCTTAGAACTTAAAAAGTTTAGAAGTGCCGAAAGCGTGCGTTTGCTCCAATATTAATAGACCCATTATCGGAGTAGATATATGCAACGCAACCACGACGAGATAAAAATCGCCATATATCATATAATTGTTATTAGGTGGCACAACCATATATAACTATAAATTAAACTTCTGCTGCTTTAGTTTATTATAAATGATACTTAAATATTACTATCCCTTTCATCAGGAATTAGACATAATTTTACAAGGGTAAGGGTAGTACGAACAGACGCGGATCCTGTATTTTGTCATGACCATAAAATAATTCTGTCATATGACCGAAACGCCATCTAAGTGTATGAGTGTTTTCATCTTTAATAATAACGACATGACCTATCTTCACCTCACGCATGTATTCAAACGTTGTGATCTAAAAACCACCTTATCCAAAAATCTTGGTGCTGAAGAATTTTTAATTTAGTTCCCATCGGGTAAGGAGGTAATTTTTTTTGTTTGTATAGTAACTGTTGGTAGTATGGTAAGTGGAGCTAATGTTAAAAAATGTC